TATTTTTTTTGAGATAGAGTCTTGCTCTGTCTCCCAGGATGGAATGCAGCGGCACAATCTCGGCTCACTGCAACCTCCGCCTCCCGAGTTCAAGCGATTCTTCTGCCTCAGCCTCCTGAGTAGCTGGGACTACAGCTGCGTGCCACTATACGCAGCTAATTTTTGTATTTTTAGTAGAGGCAGGGTTTCACCATATTGTTCAGGCTGGTCTTGAACTCCTGAACTCATGATCCACCTGCCTCAGCCTCCCAAAGTGCTGGGATTACAGGTGTGAGCCACCATGCCTGGCTCAAGTCAAATCTATTTCTTAAGACTCCTCTGTCTGCCCCATTATAAACTTGACCAAGTAATTTGTTAGACTGAGAGGTATCTCTGGGGCCTTTGGTTTGCATGAAGATGTCTCTGACTTTTTCAGCTAGAAACTATGGTTTTTGTGGGTTTTTTTGTTTTTTTGAGACAGTCTCACTCTGTCGCCCAGGCTAGAGTGCAGTGGCACGATCTTGGCTCACTGCAACCTCTGCCTCCCAGGCTCAAAGCGATTCTTATGCCTCAGCCTCCCGAGTAGCTGGGACCACAGATTCGCACCACCACACACAGCTAATTTGTGTGTGTGGGCAGGGATTTAGTAGAGAGGGGGTTTTGCCATGTTGTCCAGGCTGGTCTTGAACTCCTGGCCTCATGTGATCTTTCCACCTTGGCCTCCCAAAGTGCTGGGATTACAGGCATGAGCCATCATACCCGACCCTGAAACTATGGTTTATATTTCCTTTATTAAAGTGAATTTTACAAAACAGTCAGCCTTGACTTCTGCCAAAGTCTTCCTCTGATATTGAGGCAATGAAGCTTCTAGTTATGGTGACAATTACCATAATCATTATCACATCTTCTACAGAAATGTAGTATAATATATTCCAAGGCAAAATCATTGTTAATTATTTTTACATCTGTCATGGGCACAGATAATTAAGAGCTAATTGTAGTTCTATCACTCAGCATTTGTTAAGGGCCTAAACCACTAGATTTCGGAGTCTAATGCCCTGAATTGCATCCTTTCCTCTGTTCCTCTCCAGGCTTGAGACAGTGATCAGGCCTCTCCTTTTAGACCCAGATGACCAACTACAACCCTCACATCCACCCTTGCAGCTCATCAGAGTAAAAGCGGCAGTGTTTCACACTCTGAGTTCTTTGACTATGAGGTGGTGGATGAATAATTATAATACCACAAGCATATTTCCTCCTCCTCACCCAGATGTGAAGGGTAATGACTTTGAGTTGAGCCACGTTGCCTTAGAATGAAGAAATTATCTGTTGGTGGCCAAAAACCAAGGGGAAGACTACGCAGTGATTGTGATGTGTTGATTACCACCCCAAATCAGTCAAGCGAGAGGCCACTTGTACAACCTTTGGCTTCACCCCGCTATGAGCAAATCCCAGCACATAAGATGAGATTGAGGATCAGAATTTCCATCTCCTTCTTAGCACAGATCCCTAAATCCATCCCGAAGAAACCTCCACTTACTCTCAGAGGTATCTTTATTCTCTGAGACCCTTTAAAATCCTTGACCTTTCTTTTATACCAGGCAGTTGGCATCACTACTGCCAGTTTATTTTTAGATATACATGTATGACTGAAAAATAAACTTTACAGCCAAAAGAGAATGGCTTGGCAATGAAGTAAAACTGGATCTAATGGTAAAGGCTCAGCCCACTCTTCCTAGGTAGATAAAATCCATTTTCTCTAGCCCTGGTTCAAATGTGTCCCATCACTTGTGAGTCTAGACTGGTATCAAAAGGTGCTGATATAAAAGACTTTATCATGTTTACATAGCTTGACAGGCCAAGCTCACTAGACTGGAGTCAGAGACTCAGGGGTTCTGGCCCCAACCCTGGGCCTCTCTGAGTCCTCTCAGTGTTCTCATCTGTGAAATGGAGAAGTAAGGCTAAACAATCTCCAAGATCCTTTTCAATTAAAACTCTATCATTCCGCCCGGCATGGTTGGTCACACCTGTAATCCCAGCACTTTGGGAGGCCAAGGTGGGTGGATCACCAGAGGTCAGGACTTTGAGACCAGCCTGACCAACATGGTGAAACCCAATGTTTACTAAAAATACGAAAAAGTTAGCCGTTAGCCAGGCATGGTGGTGGGCGCCTGTAATCCCAGTTACTCAGGAGGCTGAGACAGGAGAATCACTTGAACCCAGAGGCGGAGGTTGCAGTGAGCCAAGATCGCACCACTACATTCCAGCCTGGGCAACAGAGTAAGACTCTGTCTAAAAAAAAAAAAAAGAAAAGAAAGATAAAAAACTTCTGTGATTTCATACAAAGCTATTTCCCCCAAAAGCTGAAAACACTTTGTAACCTTATTTATGCAAAACATAAACCAAGATCAAGAGATCCTTATTACATAGAGAACAAATGTGACATATTTCTTAGGGAAGTGAGTAGCTTCTTACCTGCCAGTGCTAGTTTATGAGCTTAAAGGAGATGGTTCAAAGTACTTCTGATAACAGAAAGATAATAGGAGCTTGAAGTACCCACTGAGATCTGCAAATAAATGTCGTGAAAAGGTCTTTGATCTCTTAGTCATTACATCACTTGAAACATGCTTTTCTTGTCAAAGGTTAGTTCCAGTGTCCAAGACAAATTTTAGCTCATCTGATTACCTTCTTCCGATGTAAATCCCCTCTAGCGTAGCTTGTATCCTAAGTGGTCCGTCCTACAAAGCTCCTGCTGAAGCGTGACTGGGCTGGCCCACCTGCCTGGTGATGAGGGAGTCATCCAAATCTACATCTCCTGCCTGAAGAGAACTGCATCCCAGATGCAAGCAGCCTGGAGGTAGGGACGTCATCACAGTGTAACACACAGTTTCTTTTTGCCTTGATCTCCAGGCATGAGGATGACGTTCAACACTTCAAGGTCATGCGAGACAACAAGGGCAATTACTTCCTATGGACTGAGAAGTTCCCCTCCCTAAATAAGCTGGTGGACTACTACAGGACAACCTCTATCTCTAAACAGAAGCAGATCTTCCTCAGAGACAGAACCCGGGAAGACCAGGTATGCTCCAGGTCGCGATCACCCCCAATCTAGAGAGTTCAGGCAGCCCGAGTTCTCACTCAGACCACCAGGAAAAATGCATAGGCGGGGCAGATCCTCTGAGTAGACTGAAAGACAGAACTGTGAACTCTGAGTTGTGTGACTTTGGAAGTTGTCTGAGCCTCAGTCTCCTCATCCATAAAATAGGGATAAGGGTAATATCACCCCCCAGGGTGGCTATGAAGGTGGGAGAGGATAATGCGTCTCATGCCTCCTGTTATTCCTCACCACACTGCACTCAACAAACATCAGCGCTTACCGCAGGTGCTGGGTTTTCTTTTCTTTTCTTTCTTTCTTTCTTTCTTTCTTTGAGATAGAGTCTTGCTCTGTCTCCCAGGCTGGAGTGCAGTGGTATAATCTTGGCCCACTGCAGCCTCTGCCTCCCAGGTTCAAGTGATTCTCCTGCCTCAGCCTCCTGAGTAGCTGGGACTACCGGTGCGAACCACCACGGCTGGCTAATTTTTGTATTTGTAGTAGAGACAGGGTTTCACCATGTTGGTCAGACTGGTCTCGAACTCCTGACCTCATGACCCACCAGTCTCTGCCTCCCAAAGTGCTGGCATTACAGGCGTGAGCCACCATGCCCAGCTGCAGGTGCTATTTTTTTGTTATTTGTAGACATTGCTACACCAAAGTTTTCAACCTAGCTTACGAGTTGCCCAAGGATGAAGGAGTTGGGGGTGCTACAGACAGGGCATTAAGGAACAGCCTAGAGTCCGGGAATTAAATCAGCAGGTGGAGTGTGATGACAGGATTGGGGGTGGGGAGGACACAGGAGGAGAAATCTGCACTTGGAATTCTTGCTGTTGGAACTGTTCGGAATACAGAGTGTTGCTTTAAAAGAAAATGCATCAAACAGACCTGGTATGAAATCCTGATTTAATCGCTTAGCTACTTGTATTACCTAGCCAAGTTAAGAAACCTTCTGAGTATCAGTTTTCTCACCTGTAGAGTGGAGAGAACAATAAAACCTCCCTCACTGGACTGTTGTGAGGATTAAATGAGGTAATATAGCTAAGTACCACCAGAGTCTGGTCCATACTAAGCACTAAGAAAATGTTAACGTGGCCAGGCGCGGTGGCTCTCGCCTGTAGTCCCAGCACTTTGGAAGGCCAAGGTGGGTGGATCACGAGGTCTAGAGATCCAGTCCATCCTGGCCAATATGGCGAAACCTCATCTTGACTAAAGATACAAAAATTAGCTGGGTATAATGGCGTGAGCCTGTAGTCCCAGCTTCTCAGGAGGCTGAGGCAGGAGAATCGCTTGAATCTGGGAGGCGGAAGTTGCAGTGAGCCGAGATCACGTCACGGCACTCCAGCCTGGGTGACAGAGTGAGACTTGTCCCAAAAAAAAAAAGAAAAGAAAATGTTAACTTGCCTCCCATAAGTAAATTCACACATGCAGGCACTCACACATACACACACATACACACACACACACACACACACACACACACACACACCAATTTATAAACTATTTTTCAAAGGAAATAACATGGTTATAAGAGACAGGTATCACAGGAAGAAGCATTCACTAGAATAGCTGAAATCCTAGGGACAGGTTATTTGAAAAGGCATTAAGACCATGAAAGCAATGTGTGCTTTGGGGAAGTCAAGAAAATCCTCCTTTTCAAGAAAGGCAAGGCTGAGAAGTTACTGCCAAAGGCGGAAAGAAGTTCCCACCAAGTGCACACAGAACTTCAGAAAGGAAAACAAAGGTTAGCCAAGACCTTGTGAATCACTCTAAGCAGGAAATGGACAGAGTAACTCACTAGGATGTGCATTCAGAGATAAGAGAAGCAGAATCAAATTGCATTAAATGCGATTGAATGAGTTGATAATTGTAAAGCGCTTAGAACAGTGCCTGGTATATACTATGCCCGGGACCCTATGTCATTGTTTGTTACATGAAAATAACAATAGGATATTTCTGTTTTAACATTAGGGAGAAAGGCCTTGCTTCTTCCCCCACGCCCAGTGGCAGGCCTGGTTCCCATGGTGTTGCAAAAATGTTGCTGTTTGGGTCTCTATCACCAGGCTATAAATGACAGTTTAAAATCATGCAAAGTCAACAGTGGAGCTTATCTAGAAGGTAGGATGTCCAGCCATGTGGCAACATGTGATAAGAAGGGGTGGCATTGTGTCAGTAAAATGGAATATTTTAGCTTGATTACACAGAGAAAAACAAGCACCCCTGGAAATTGACTAAATGGCTACCAGGCAGAAAATGTTAGCCTGTGAACCCCAGACCTGAATTCCTAAAACTGGAAGGATCCAAGAATGCAGAGGCCACTTTGGAAAATGTGAAGGTCTGAAGCATCAATTCTTTCAGCTGTCCCCACCTCACCAGCAGGGGGGCAGGATGAGCAGGGTCTGAGAACAACTGCCCGAGGGTGGGGCAGAGCCAGAAGATCAGAGAGGAGGACGCATCTGCATCATCTCTGCTCTCTCTCCCAGGGTCACCGGGGCAACAGCCTGGACCGGAGGTCCCAGGGAGGCCCACACCTCAGTGGGGCTGTGGGAGAAGAAATCCGGCCTTCGATGATCCGGAAGGTGTCGGATCACCCCCCGACCCTTCCCCTGCAGCAGCACCAGCCACAGCCTCCGCAGTACGCCCCAGCGCTGCAGCCGCCACAGCAGCGGTATCTGCAGCACCACCATTTCCACCAGGTATCTGGAATGAAGGCAGCGGGCACAGTCCGGTGAGGAGGAGAACCTGCCTCCCCTCCAGGCCTGGCCCAGCCCCCCCCACACACATACACTCACTCTCTCTCTCTCTCTCTCTCTCTCTCTCTCTCTCTCTCACACACACACACACACACACACACACACACACACACACACATTCTTCTCCAGAGGACTCAGGGAACAATTGCTTCATTTTCCTATTAGCAGAATTCCAAATCTATTCATGCCCCTTAACCCATCTGGCTGTGGAGATCCACAAGAAAGAAAGGCTTAATATGCATAACAGAGCCGTGTTTGTTTACCTATCTATCTATCTATCTATCTGTCCCCCGCCTTGTTCCCAGTGGGATTTCAGGGGGCTTACTTTGATGGACAATACGGCGAGATAACATCGTTTGTAAATTCCTTAGCAGGGCACGCAAAGTCCTTTGTGAGCTGCCAGAATCTATTTCCCCAGCCTCATCCCTGCTACCTGCCCCTCCCACCTGACTCCCCGTGCAAACACACATTCCAGCAACCCCACACTACTTTAGTTACCCGAATGGTCTATTGTGTTTCCTCTCATGCCTTTGTGGCATTTTACATGCTGATCCCTCTGCCGGATAAGCCCCTCCCTGGCCAGTCCTACTCCTCCTTTAAGCTAGAGTTCAAGCATCACCTCCTCTGTGAAGCCTTCCTTGATTTCCCAGGCAGATATAGACATTTCTTCTCTCTGCTCACTTACCACTTAAATGTGTGTGGTTCCTCCTCTAAATGGAAGCTCCATGAAGTCAGAGACCTTCTCTTTCCAGCTATATTTCCCTTGTATCTGCTACTGGATACATGGTAGGTGCCTGATAAATATTTTTGACTGAATAAATAAAACCCACCTTTGCCTTCTTTGCCTTCAGAACCTAAGGTCCCTTTAGACCTCAGGTCCTCCTCCCCCTCAGCGTGGAGGTTTTATTGTCATCATCAGTAAGTATTCCTGGAATATACCGGCTGTGCAGATGGCATCTGAGCCAGGCACTGGGGGAGCCTGTGGGAGATGTCCTGGCAGTGGGGTGACCAGTCTTCTGTTGTATGTTTCCAGGAACGCCGAGGAGGCAGCCTTGACATAAATGACGGGCACTGTGGTGCTGGCCTGGGCAGTGAAATGAATATGGCCCTCATGCATCGGAGACACACAGACCCAGTGCAGCTCCAGGCAGCAGGGGTATGGGAGCCATCCCTCTCTGGGATCCCTGGAGAAAGGCCCCAGGACAGAGCTCAGTGGAGGAGATGAGGCAGGAGAGACTCAAATCACACAGATCTGGCTGGGTGCGGTGACTCATGCCTGTAATCCCAACACTTTGGGAGGCCCAGGCGGGTGGATCACCTGAGGTCAGGAGTTTGAGACCAGCCTGGCCAACATGGTGAAACCCCATCTCTACTAAAAATACAAAAAATTAGCTCATATGGTGGCAGGGACCTGTAATCCCAGCTACTTGGGAGGCTGAGGCAGGAGAATCGCTTGAAATAACATCTGCTGGGAGGCAGAGGTTGCAGTGAGCCGAGATCGCACCACTGCCCTCCAACCTGGGTGACAGAGTGAGACATTGTCTCAAAAGCAGAAACAAAAAACCCACATAGATCAAATGAGAGATGATGGACCGTTCGGGGAGGCCTGGGGCTGAGCGAGCACAGCCTCAGTCTGGTGCCAGGCCTTCCCTGTTCTCATAGTTCTTGGTTCTAGTTCTTCATCATCTTTATCATAGTTCTTTACCATGGCCTTTATCATTCCTTTTTTTGGGGGGTGGGGTGGGGGGTGAGACAGGGTCTCACTCTGTCTCCCAGGCTCAAGTGCAGTGGCACAATCATGGCTCACTGCTAGGCTCAAGCAATCCTCCTGCCTTAGCTTCCCAAGTAGCTAAGTGTATTATTTGTAGAGCTAAGCTCTCGATACATTGGGCAGGCTGGTCTCGAACTCATGGGCTCAAGCAGTCCTCCTACCTCAACCTCCCAAAGTGCTGTGATTACAGTCATGAGCCACCATGCCTGGCCTGTGATCCATCTTGACTTGTGACTTGATCGCCCTAACACCCAGGGCTGTTACTTGGGACATATTGCCATTCTGTTTGTCACTCAAAGAAGCTGAAAATACACCTATTGATGTGGAGAGAGTGATTCTCAGGGAGCCTCTTGGGACCTTGGACAATAACATCTGTTGGTAAAAGTCCTGAATCTCCAGAGTGATGCTGGTGAGTTCTGGTGAGCAGGATAGCCGGGCGTGGTGGCTCACACCTGTAGTTCCAGCTACTTGGGAGGCCAGGGCAGGAGGATCGCTTGAAGCCAAGGGTTTAAAACCAGCCTCAGCAGCATAGCAAGACCCCATCTCTACACATTTTTTTTTTTGAGATGGAGTTTCACCTTGTTGCCCAGGCTGGAGTGCAATGGTGCAGTCTCGGCTCACCGCAACCTCCGCCTCCCGGGTTCAAGCAATTCTCCTGTCTCAACCTCCCAAGTAGCTGGGATTACAGGCATGTGCCACCATGCCCAGCTAATTTTGTATTTTAAGTAGAGAGGGGGTTTCTCCATGTTGGTCAGGCTCTCTTGAACTCCTGACCTCAGGTGATCCACCTGCCTTGGCCTCCCAAAGTGCAGGGATTACAGGTGTAAGCCACCGCACCTAGCCTACAAAAACTTTTTTTTAGGTTACAGAGGGGTCAGCCTTCAGGGAATGTTGCTCTCAAAGGACTTGGATGCGGTGGGAGGAGCCAGCAGACCCTTCCCTGCCTGCCCAGCCCACAGCTCAGTAGAGCCTCTTCTGTGCTTCCCCCAACAGCGAGTGCGGTGGGCCCGGGCGCTGTACGACTTTGAGGCCCTGGAGGATGATGAGCTGGGATTCCACAGTGGGGAGGTGGTGGAGGTCCTGGACAGCTCCAACCCATCCTGGTGGACTGGCCGCCTCCACAACAAACTGGGCCTCTTCCCTGCCAACTACGTGGCACCCATGACCCGATGAACTCTTCGGGGGACAGAAGCTTTTTGTCTGACGCTGCCCACAAGAGAGAGGGCAAGTAAAAAAGGCTGGACTCCATGACTCTATATACATATCTCTCTCTGCGTCTCTCGGTGTACACACACAACTTTTTATACTGGTTATTTATTGGCAATTGGGCTGGTAATTAGTTAATGCAAAAGGGAACTCAGGTGGAGAATAATATTCACACTTGCTTTTCTGCTCCCCTCAGGGGTATGTGGAAGGCAGCCGGGGAGTTAGGGGGTGGGGCAGGGAAACGAAAAGGAGCTTTGTCCTGGCCTGAGCTGTGTCACTGCTTCCTCCTTGTCTTGGGAATTTTCACTGAGAACAGCTAAGCAAAGACCACACCTCGGCACTGGATGCAGAGCAATAGGGTGGAGTTGAACTTGGTGGGGCACGTCCTAGCTCACCTGCAAGTCCCGCTTACCTGGAGGGTTTGCAGGCAGCTCTCCTCATGTCCTCCAAGGGGTGGGCACTGCTGCATTAGGAATTAAGGTGCAGCTTTGTGCCGCGGGCAGCAGCAAGTCTGGGCGGGGATGTGGAAGCAGGGCTGGGTTGGAGAGACCCTGCCTGTGCGAGGCTGGCCTCCTAGTCACCTCCTAGCTGAGACTTTTATCTCTGTTCAAATTAATGTTCCTTGGGCCTTTCAAATGAATGTTCAGTGTGAGAAGCCAAGTACTGGGAAGTCAAGAGATTTTTCTAAGGTCCCCAAGCAACTTACTCAATGTAACTGTTTCCCCAGCTATGAAGGAAATAGCACCCTAGATTCCGTAAAGTGCTTGGAGAAGCTCTGGCTGAGAATGCTGCATTTTAGAGTCATTGTTTTATGGTGACAAGGGTGTATCTTCAGGGCTCTGTTCATTTTCCGTCGGGATTTTCTGTTTCGAAGATGCCCTGCCCAGTGGCATGGAAAGCAGCTCACTTGATAAGAGCATTGACTGTCAACTGATTGACTAAGCATGACCCCAGGTGGAAGCTGGCTTTGACATGAGTTTCCTGCTCGGTCTGATCATTGCCGTCCTCCCGCCACCCAAGTGTTGCACTTAGAGCAAGGAGCTCCACCATGGCTGTCCCTCACCACCACCTCACACTAGAATCATGTGTCCCAGGCTCACCCTGGAGGTGCAAAGCACAGGTCAGCCTGGCCGGGGAGGAAAGAGACACTGGAGAGGAAGCTCAGGGCCTTAGGGGAGGCCAGGCACAAACAGTCTGCACCGGGGCATCCAGAGTTTGTGAGTGTGGGCGAGCACCCCTGCGTGTGTGCACATGTATGCTTGCATGCACATGTGTGTGCACCCCTGTGTGTATACATGTGCTTTTCTATGCATATGTGTCCACCCCTGTGTGTGTACACATGTGTGCTTGTGTGTGCATATGTGCGCATGCGTGCACGTGTGCTTATAGGTGCGTGCACTTGTGTGCATGCGTGTGTGTGTGCTGAGACAGGAAAGAGGAGTGAAAGCATTGGTGAAGGAACATGGAAGTTTTCTCTTCCCCAGCCTCTCCTGCTCTAAGGAGGGACGGGGTGGGGGGCAGCCATTATTGAAGGTGATAGAAGAAAGATTTTCTGACTCGGAAGTAACTGCCAGTGTAGCACAAGCAGTGTCCCTTGTGACTGATTCTACAATTCTCTGATCCCCATGCTTCCTCCTTTAGAGGAAAGAGGAAAAAAGGGACTCTGTGGTGGGTATCAGGAGGCAAAAGAAAATAGCCTGGTGGAGGCAGGGGGGGTTGAGCATGAGTAAGGAGCGCCTGCAGCTTATGGAAGTGAAGGCAGAGAGGGAAAGGTAGCGAAGACATCCCGGAGGATCCAGGGGCAGCAAGAGAGGCACGGGGGGGAAGGGGGAGAGCGAGTGGGCCCAGGGAGGACAGCGGTGTGCAGCTGGTGGGCAGACGTGCAGGAGGAGGGGTGATAAGCTGGGAAAGGAAGAATCAGAGCGGAGAAACCACTGCTGCAGAAGGCAGGGAGCAAAGAAGCATAAGAAAAAGAACAGGAGAAAGAACAAAGGCAGAGAAGCCCTCATCAGCTATTTTGGTGCTAAGTAATGTGAAATGCTACAGTAAATAAAAGTCAATAGTAATGTTTGATTTTACAGTGTTTACAAACCGTATGTTTTAAACAGCCCACAAACTTCATCCAGTTGTCTGATGATGTGGGAGGACCAGCTCTAGTTAGACAGAGGTACGTGATTTGATTCTGATCAAGGTTTGTGCCTTGAAAGACTTCTCAAGAACACAGTAATGAAACAAAGTGTCTTTGTTTGGCCAGGCTGTGTCTGGTGTCCGTGCCACATACTCCTCAGGTAGAGAGTGAGAGCGAGACCGAGGGGTGCCAGGGGTCATCGGCCTGCAGGAGCTGACCCCATAGGCAGGCAGTGTGAGCAGAGCTTTTAGAACTCTGGAACTCGGTGTTCTGTTCTAGCAAAAGCCACTGCAGAATATTTTTTTACTGAGATGCCAAATCGTCCTTGCCCTGTTCATCAGCACGCCTCCATTCAGAAGGAAGCAGGAAAGTCATCCAAACCACCCACAAGCAATGAGGGCTCTTAGCAGCCAGGTGAAGAGGACAAGAACCAAACTGTCCACATTACGGAGGGAAGGGGAAGGAGCGCTCGAGCCCCCTCAGCCTCTGGTGCTGCCAGGGGAACACCTCCTGTGTGTCTCCAGGGGTCCTAGTTTCTACCTGACAGCATTTCAGTGCCAGGGGAGGGTCCACGCAGAGCCTCTCACCAGCCACACAACCGGCAGCCAACACACTGTCTCCGAGCTTGGCTGCAATGCTCTACGTGACTTGGGAGCTTGGGGCTTCCAGAGAAAAGCCAGCTCCTGTTGGACCAGTTGGGTTTTCCTAACCACTTGCTGTGTCTCACTATATTTCAAATACCTGGCACCTGCCGCTGCCCACCCACTTTTAGATGGCCCTAGGGTGACCTAACCACGGTGCTTCTCAAAATGTCAAGTACTTACAAATTGCCTGGGGATTGTGTTCAAATGCAGCTTCCTTCTCGGTCCTGAATTACTAACAAGCTACTGGGTGCTGGGTGCACATGTTAAGTAGCAAAGGCAAAGAACTCCGCAGTGAGCAAAACTCTAATTGGGCTCTTTTTCTGAGGATATTCGGCCATTTTTCTTTGCTGCTCACGAATAGGTCGCTTTGGCTTTGGGACAGATGCAATTCAGAACTGTTGTTATGACATCATTCATATTTGGCAGCACAGGTGACTTATTTTAGCATCTTTAAATTAAAAAAAAAAACAGTAACGTGAGAGGAATTCAGATGAAATGCAAACAGGAATTTCCTACGATAATTACTATTTCCTCATCGTAATTATTTTAAACATGAGCAAGAAAATTGTGAAAGCTTTGTCAGGAAATCTTTAGACAGAAAACTGACTCTGGTCAGATGTGGCCCTGGTTGAGGCAGGGGACTGTGGTCCCAGCTAACCTAAAACACAATGGCCCACTCTAGGGACAGATTAGCAAGGCCAAAATATTTGCTGTTTGCCTTGTCGAAGCCAATGTTTCAGGCCGTCTATACCAAGGCAAAGGTGTGAGAAAAACCTTTATTGTCTCAATTCTTTTTTTTTTTTTTTTTTT